AGAGGCTCTGTTTACTCTGAGAGCTGGCTCAGAGGAAGTTGGATTAATGTCAAGGAGTCTCCTCATGTAATTAAAGGGTGACTTGGTGATGGGATACCAGCCTCTGTGGGGTTATTTCCATGGCAATGAGAGTAAAACATGCTCCTGTTGAAATTCCATCGCAAAAGTCATCTTTGAGTTGGTGTAATCATTTCTGGCAACATGCCGTTGTTTGGGAAGCTTGATTTATTGCATCCCGCCATTGAAGACTGCCCAGTATGTGGAAAGAATGTATTATTTTTTTCCAGCCAAAAGACATTGGGGCAGATGAAAAGCAATGAGTAATTCTCCTGACAGTTTGGGGACCCGAAACTTTATCAGTTATTAGGTGCCCAACTTTCACTGAGGCACCAGATACTAAAACCTTTCAAAAATTGATGGATTTAATTAAGGAATATTACGACCCCAAACCTCTTTTAATTCTGCGATGCTATTGGTTTTACATGGCAATTCGAGAACCAGGGGAATCTGTATCAGGATTTTTGACAAGGTAAAGATGATTGGCAGAGGTAAGTGATTTTGATTTACCTCTTAATGAAATGCTGAGAGACTGTTTGGTATGTGGGAATAATGATGTAATCATGCAAAAGCATCTACTAGCTGAAGCCCAACTGGATTTCAAACAAGCACTACAACTGACTTTATCATTGGAAAATGCAGCAAGTGGAGGATAAGAGTTGCAGGGTTTCCGATGGAAGTGGACACCCTCGCCAATCCAACTGAGCTTGGAGAACACCACTTGAGTAAAGGCAATTGCATAGCCTCACTCAGGACATATCCTGAACAGAGGGACTCTAGGTCAGCCCACAGCAAAACCCCAAAACAAAGCCAAGCCTTGGCTAAATGATGAAAATTATCTTCAGGATCCAGGTCGGCGAGCAATTGTAGTTGCTTCTGGTATGTGGACACGAGACAGCTAAAGAGTCCCACTGGACCTAAATTGAGTAAGAGAACTCATAGGCCAGTATCCAGGAGAATGTACACCCTGTAAAGTCCAACTACATCTTGTTTTGAATGGTTAAATTGCTTAGCAACATCCAAATCAGAACCAATCAAAATAAACGTGTAGTTAAACGATCACATAGTTCTAATGTAGGTTGATACCAATGTGGCCATTTTAGTGATGCGGAACCCATCTTTAACAAAATTTGCTCTGGACTCCAAACATTAAGTTTGCAAAAGACCTCAGCTAAACTGAGAACCTATACCGGGGAATCCTTACAGATTAAGGGTACAACTTTATTCCAGTCTCTTATGAGAAGCAGCTGGTTCAGCTACCATTGATTGTAGTAAAAGACTCAGGCCCAAGCTTGATGGGGCAAAATTGGTTGAGAAAGATTCACCTGGATTGCCTCAACATTTTTCAATTAAAAAATTGCTGCCTCAGTAAAGTCCTAATTAGATACCTGGAGGTTTTTCAGGAAAAACTAGGAATTACCAAAGGAGCCAAGGCCATCTTACTTGTAGACTAGGAAGCAATTCCCCGATTTTGGAAGGCCTGCCCATTGCCATTTGTCTTATGGACAAAAATACAGGCAGCAATCATAAGGCTGGAAAGTGAAGGAATCATCAAACCAGCCCAGTTTGTGGAAATGGCAGCACTGATTGTACCGACTATGAAGCCCGATGGATCAGTTCACCTTTATGGGGATTTTAAACAAACAGTAAACCATTTCTCGCGGCTGGATAAATACCCAAACCTTTGCATAGAGGATTTATACACAAAGCTGGCAGAAGGTCTGTCCTTCACAAGGCTGGACACAAGCCTTGCGTACTTGCAATTGCTGTTAGATGAAGATTCCCAGATGTATGCTACAATTAATATCAATGAAGGTTTGTACCAATATACGGGGTTGCCATTTGGGGTATTGTCAGCCTGTGCAATTTTTCAGTGGGTGATGGAGAACATTTTACAAGGTCTACCCAGGTCACCATTTGTCTAGGTAATGTGCTAATAACAGGGAAAAGACCAATAAGGAACACTTAGAAAGATTGGACATAGCTTAAATGTTTCTCCCACGTGGGCATACACCTTAGAAGGGAAAAAAGTGTGTTCCATGCTCCCCAAGTGACCTACTTGGGCTACACAGCCCCATCCCCATCTCCTACCTACTAACCTCACCCCGCCCCCTTGACCTGTCCGTCCTCCCTGGACTGACCTATCTCCTCCCTACCTCCCCACCTACACTCACCTTTACTGGCTCCATCTCCACCTCTTTGACCGGTCTGTCTCCTCTCCACCTACCTTCTCCTCTATCCATCTTCTATCTGCCTCCCCCTCTCTCCCTGTTTATTTCAGAACCCCCCTCCCTCCCCCAAAACGTCTAGGCCCAAAACGTCAGCCTTCCTGCTCCTCTGATGCTGCTTGGCCTGCTGTGTTCATCCAGCTCTACACCTTGTTATCTCAGATTCTCCAGCATCTGCAGTTCCTACTATCTCTGAAAGGATCTTGGGGTCCTTGTCCACAGATCCTTCAAGGTGCAGGACAGGTTACGAGGATAATTCAGAAGGTATATGGGATGTTGCCTGGGATGAAGCATTTCAGCTATGATGAGAGACTGGATAAGCTTGGGTTGTTTTCATTGGAGCAGAGAGGCTGGGTAGGCTGGAACTTGAGAGGGATATAAGGTCATGAGGGGCATATACAGGGTGAAGAAAAAACATCTGTTCCCCTTAGTTGAACAGTCAATAACAAAGGGACATATTTTTAAAGTGAAGGGTGGGAGGTTTAGAGGGGATTTGAGGACTTTTTTTTCACCCAGAGGGTAGTGAGGATATTTGATGCTGGAAACCTCACAACCTTTTTAAAAAGTACTTGGATGAGCACTCGAAACATTGTAACATTCAAGCCTATGGGCCTCATGTGGGCAAGTGGGACTAGTATAGATATTATATGTTTAGTGGTACAGATTTGATGGGCTGAAGGGCCTGTTTTACACTATCTGGTTCTATGATTCTGTGAACCCGCAAAGGATCTGTCTATTAAAAGCTGCCTTTGAGTATCAAAGGAGAAAGAAAACAATATGGACGATACTGAAAGCTCTTCTCTTGCTCCTTCTCTCAGTTTCAGAAACAAATTACAGTGAAAAAGCAACTTGGAAAGTTTGCAATCTGATCATTGCGAAATCAATGTCATCCGCAAGTTTTGCCACTACTGTGAAAACAGAAGAGCTAAACTGTTGGACTCAGGTTTCATTTGCAATTTAAGGACTCCTTAAAAAGTTTCTACTGCAACCACCTGTACTGTCCTGTCTGTACAGACACCCTCCTCTACCCCTCACTCCTTTTTAAAAGTTTATCATTTATGTTTGTTGCATTTCCTTATTTTTCTCAGCTTGAACAATAAAACTCCACTCTCATTTGCTCAAGAAAACTTTGGAATTGGCTCCCCTCTATCTTTGATCTGGTTAACCATGTTTAATTGAAGTATAATAACTATATGCTAAAAAAGCAATATTTGTTACGACCAACCAAGAGGGGGTGGCGTGGTTAAAAAGAGGAGAACCAAACAACCTTCCTTATCAGGCTGTTATACTTACTCTGTCAGTCCACACCTACAGCTCTTTAGTCACGTGAGATGTGGTATCACTTCCTTCAGTAATGCCATTTACTCTCTCTTAAAATGGTCCTGCAACAAAGGGACTTGAATTCACTGCCTGAGATGGTTGCAGAAGACAAAGCTCTCAAAACTTAAAAAAAACTATTTGGATGTCAATTTGAAGAGCTTTGACCTGCAAGGCTATGGGATAAGGCTGGGTATTTGTTTGTCAATCAGCTTTGACACGATAGGAGAAACAACTTTCTTCTGTCTTGCACATTTTTGGCGATTTTGGATTTGGAGAGAACATTTCGAATAACACAATGGCTAGTTCTATGAAGCAGACTGTTTCTCTGGATTTCAGTTGAGCTTGACTTGAAACATTCACAAATTTTTGTCACCAAACTGTCAAGACACTATAGTTACGTAACCAACACATCAGAAACTTTGAATATAAAAAAGAAAACTTGAAATTGTAGAATCAATAGAAACGTGGGGATTTAAAAATGAAAGACTTGCTTTTATTATTCACAACAGTCAGATACTTCAAAGTGCCTTACAGCAAGTGGTGCACTTTAAGTACAGTTACTGTGGTAATGTCGGCAATGCATTAATGTTCAGAAATGTGCAGAAAATTCCCACTATCAGCAATGTGTTAATAATCAGATCATCTGGTTTTCTGATGTTGACTGAGGGACAAAAATTGGCTATGAACCCGAAGATGACGCCCCTGTTCTTCTTCAAAACAGCGCAGTATGGGATTTTGCAGCTTCAGTGGCCAGAAGATGGAGACTGTTTAATGTCTCAACCAAAAGACAGCATATTTAGTTACTGCACTGAAGTGTCACCTTTCATCTTCTTTTGTGCTCGAGACCTGGAGTAGGTCTTGAATCTTGAGACTCATAGGTGAGCATGCTATTAATTTAGGCATATATTCCCAAATTCTATGCAATTCCAAGAATTCCCATCTTCCAACAGGTGTTATGCTAAGCGATTTACTGTCGGACAGATTGCAAACCTTGTTCTTTTATAATTTATAATCAGTTATGAGCAATGTTATTGTTTCTATACATTCCTTGGGACGAGATAAGGCGCTATGCTAATGGGGTATGGAAAAGAAAAGTTATTAAGTACAGACAGGAAACGCATTATCACTTTGAAAGCAGATGATACAGCACTCATCTCTGGAGAATTCAGAAGCTAAACACGCCTAACAATACCACTCAACTGAAACCGACTAGTTCCGTTTTGGTATATGCAGCTGTCAATTTGAAGGCGAAGGGCTTCCAACGAAAGTGGGCCCTCCCCAGCCCTGCTCCTATTGGCGAACATTGCCCTTACAGCACCAATCGAAATGGCCAACTATCAAGAGGAGGATAAACCCAGGAACCGGTTGTCAATCAATACTGATAAAACGCTGGTGAGTCAGTGGAGTTGCAAAGTAATTTTGAGCAATTTAGATTCTTAACGAAATTTAGTCAGTGTCTGGAATCATATATAAACACACAACGACTAACTTACAGAGGTAAGTAGCACTTGTCTATTTTAGTTTTGGTTTAAGTGGTTCCGATCCTTCAGTTTTGCTGAGACTATTTCATCCGAAGAACATATAACAAATGTACAATTATGGCAATAATTAATTATATACAGTACTTAGTTTGTTTTAGTTTTCAAATTAGTTTTGTTCAGTTACTTCTTTATGCGTCTGTTAGGTGTTCAGTAGCCACCAATCTCAGTCCAACAATTATATAAAGAACATTCTACTCATGCATTGAGTTTTTCTTCTCTCTTAGAATAACAGGTGTTAAAAGTAACTTTTGTTTCAAGGCGGAAGGTGCGTTAAATAATTTTCTTAGGGCATGAGTAATGCTGTTACATCTGCCACTTTTAATAGCAAAAACTGGCTTGATTTTGTTTTTTATTTTGTGTTCTTGGAAATATTTCAATGCAGTATTTTCCTTCAGTTCACATTCAAAGACCATCAAACGATTGATTGATTGTCCTAAAAAATAACTTTAAAGGTTTGCATGGTCAATTTAAAGATAATTCCAAAATTGGGTTATGTCATCAGTGCAGATATATAGCTGGTTCAGTAACTGAAAACACGCTAAAGCCATATGCTCTGTGTTAAAAGCTCCTGATATAAAGCCATCAACTAGACAGCAATAATTAAGGATTAATATATGCGGAAGTTACGTCCCATTTTATATTTTTGAAATGCAAGTGAGGGAATTAAGAAGAAATGCACTGTCACCATTCGGTAAAATATTAAAACATACTTTTTGAATAAATGCTTCCACTGGCTCACTCTTACAAATATATTCAGTCTGTTTGCCAATGTCGTTGAGAAAGAAAATATTACTTTTAAATGCACAGTACTTTTAAACGTCCAAATCTCTAGCATCAAAGCAAAACAGTTTTCAGAGTTTAAATTTAGAAAATGTCAAGTGGTATATGAAGGATATCAGTTTAAAAATGAAAGCCTTTAACTTAGTTTTTTGATTAGCATTTGCACAATTCTGCTGATTTTCATCTAAATCGCAAGCCAATTTACATTGACTTAACTAGATTAGGTTAAATGATAATGTGTTGATGTCACAGATAACAAAGATTTAAAATTAACACCCAGGGTATATACAAAAGAGTTAACAGCATGGTGTAATCTGACCGCAGAATTCATATAATTTGCACAATGGATCATTTAAACAAGGAACATGGAGAATGTTGAAATATTGCATTGCTGATAGGTCATTGAGCAGGATGCAGACAAAAAAAACCTCACCATTAGGAACCCCAAAGGTGTATTTGCACTATTGCGAGTATACCTCCTTATGCTCACTGGTACCCTGGTTAATGATAATTTCGCACTTACATGAAACAACTGTTGCCTCCATGACGTTGAACTGCATGGAAACTTCAGGTCATAATCAATTTGTGTAAATGCTTTCACCACTGAGGCGATTGGTAAATGGAAAATGTACTATTTAGTTTGCCTATTCGACATCGCTTGTACTGTGAAAGGCTTTTTTTTTAAAAAACATGTTTTAAGCTTTGAAAAAGAACAGAAATTACAGTGTTCTTGGTGACCTTATAGTTGGTAATTGCTCGAACATTAGGCTGTGGTGGCACAACGTGTATAACTTTCAGTAAGAGCATGAGACAAGAATTCATCTAGTGTTTAAGAAGATCTTTCCTGCTGATACTTCTATAAGAAGTGAAGCATGAGTTTGTAATTTCATTCAGAGTGAGGGTATATGCGTGACTACATTTAAAACATCTATTTATGACACCAGAGTGCATTTTCTCCTCTTCTGTAGGTGGCAATGCTGCTCGATGGTATTGGTAATTATTATATTATTTATTACTTTAATTAAGGCCATTAATAGAGTTATGATCTTTAAGCAAGGATTGCAAAGGAATGCAACATTAAGTTGCATTGCAGGCAGGATTGTTTCCTTGATGTTTCTTGAACCTAGTATCCTGCTAGGCCAGTTCAGAAGGCGTTTAAGAGTCAACCACTTTGCTGAGGGTCTGGCGTCACATACAGGCAGAAGGTAACTTCAAAAATAAATAAGGATGGCAGATTTATTTATTAAAAGGGCATCAGTGAAACAGTTTTGTTTACAACAATCAATGATAGTTGTCCTTGTCACCATTACTGGGTATATTCCAGATTCATTAAACAAATTCAAATTCCACTGGCTTTTTAACTAAATTCTTATGCCCACTTACTTCATTATCCAGATCAAGCCATAAGAATAGTAAGTATAAAGTAAGTTAGCTCTTGACAGAGTCTGGTAAATGTGGAGCCAAATTTTGTAACATGTAATTTTGTATTATGAAGAGATGCAGGTTTTTCACAAAGTTTCATAAGCAAGATTTGAAATCTCATAAGCACAAACTCATGATTCCATCCCCTCTCTCATCCCTATCGTGTCCATAGAGTTATACAATCATACAGCACAGAAACATTCCCTTTGGCCCAACCAGTCTATGCCAAACATAATCCCAAACTAAACTAGTCCCACCTGCCTGATCCTGGCCCATTTCACTCCAAACCTGTCCTATCCATGTACTTATCCAAATGTCTTTTAAATGTTGTAATTGTACCCATATCCATCACTTCCTCAGGAAGTTCACTCCACACACGAACTGCCCCTCATGCCTTTTATAAATCTCTCTCCTCTCACTTTAAAAATGTGCCCCCTAATCTTGAAATCCCCCATCCTAGGGAAATGACAACTACCATTAGCTCTATCTAGACCCCTCATTACTTTTATAAGCTTCTGTAAGGTTGTCTCTCAACCTCCTACTCTCCAGTGATAAAAGTCTCAGCCTTTCTTTGTAACTCAAACCTTCCAGACCCGGCAACATCCTGGTAAATCTCTTCTGAACACTCTCCAGCTTAATAGTATACTTCCTACAACCTCAACATGACTTCCCAACTCCAATACTCAAAGAACTGAGCAATGAATGCAAGGTTGACAAATGCCTTTTTAACCAGCCTGTCTTTGTGTGGTGCAGTTTTGGACAAAAGCCTAAGAAATAAAATTGTATGCAAAGTGTAGTATCCTCAGTGCCTATTCACCGTCCCCACATCTAGTTTCTGTCTCCCACCAAAAATTCTACAGATATCAATCTATAAGTGCAGATAATAACACTGTGATTTAAAATGAGCCAACACTTGAGTGAAATACATTGTTACTTACGTTAGAAATTTCAAAATTACAAGCACATCCTGCAGTTTTGATGTGATAGTTTTTACACTCAGCTAAAACATTAACAGAACAACAAAGTGATGCTCAGGCAGTATGAAACAAAATAACCAGTTAATATGAACAGCATATTCTCCCATATCGTTTTGCTGTTCGGATAAGACCCATTGTTTTGTACTATATTTTTCCCACACATATTAAACATTTGGACCTACAACATAAGAAATTTGTAATAAAATGAATGTTAGATGGCAGTAATGTGAATTGGAATGTGTACAGGCAAATAAATCAGGGCAGAAAGCAAAGGGTATAGGTAAAAGGAAGTTTCTGAGACTGGAAAGCAAGAGTGAGTGTAGGCCACAAGATTGCTGTATTTTAATATTAATTTTGGTGATTATGAACTTAGGAATTGTGAAAACAATACCAAATGTTGCTGAAATTTAAAACAAAAGGTATTGCACCATCATATAAGAATCATGAAAAATTACAATGTGTCACATACAGTAATAGATGGGCTGGTAAGTGACAAATAGAATCAGTGTAAACATGTGAAATTAAACATCTGGAAATAAGTACTAGCTCCAAGAAAATGTATCTTGAATGATAATTCTTTGCAGTGTAGTAGAGCAGAGACAGTTTGGCATGCAGGTATCTAGGTTGTTTAAAAAAAAGAGTGACTCAAGCAGAGCTTAAAAAGAAAGACTTGCATTTATATAGTGCTTTTCAGGACTGCCAAATATCTGATCACTTTACAGACAACACGTACTTTTCTTGTAACGTAGGCAATGTGGCAGCCAATTTTCACTCAACAAACTTCCACAAAAAACAGTTTGATAATGACCAGATACTCTTTGCTTTCATGATTTTGATTAAGGGATAAAGGTACCTTGCTCTTTTTCAAAATATTGCCTCGGGATCATTGACGTCTGCCTGTGTACACAGTTGGGGCCTTGGTTTTGAAAGATGGCCCCTCTGCCAGAGTAGCATTCCCTCAGTAGTGCACTGGAGTGTTGGTCCTGGTTTTGAAATCGATCCTAGCTGGGAATGAATTGGAAACTGAATTTTGTTATTCAGAGGCAAGTTTGTGATCAACTGGACCATGGTTGACATTGTAAGTATGTATTAGATTATAAAAAAGCTAAATTTAAATATTCAGCTTTGTATTCAGTGACAAACATAATGGGGAAGTTAAGGATAGCATCAAATTGAAAGAAAAAACAGAATGTGGCAAAGAGTAGTGGTAAGCTAGAGGATTGGTTTTAAATTTTTTCCAAAAAAAGGGAGGAGAAAATAAACTTTGAGTGTAAACTTGCAACAGGAAGATGCACAGCAAGAGCTCCTTTAAATATATAAAAAGGATGAGAGAAGGCAAACTGAACATAGGCCCCTAAGGAAATGTGGCTGGGGAAATAATAATGGAGAACCAGGAAAAGTCAGAGAAATTGAATAAATACTTTGCACAGGTTTTCGTGGGACAAGATGCTAATAGCGATCCAAAATTACTAAATAATCAAGGGACAAATGGAGGAGAGGAAATAAATACAATACCTTTCGTTAGAGAAAAAGTAAGTGGGAAACTAATTGGACCAAACCGAGAAGTCCCGTGGATATGATGGGATGCATCCTGGGATATTAAAGGGCACAGCTAAGAGAAAGTGGATACACTGGTAGTAATCTTCCAGGAATCCCACAGGATTAGAAAACTGCTAAAGTAACACCAAAAGGAAGGAAACAAAAAGAAAAGGAACCTAGGGATGGACAGTAACTGTTAGCTGAGCCAATAATACCCACATCCCATGAGTGAATTAAA